GAATCATAATGTAAATATCTGATATGCAGGATGGTCTTAGGCAACCCCTGTGAAAGGGTCATTCAACCGCCAAAGGGGTCGCGACCCACAGGTTGAGAACCGCTGCCTTAGGCCCTCTGACCAGAAGCCTTTTTCAGCTTTGCTCTTCTGGGAACATGACCCCAACCCCTCATCAGTCCCTATCCCTCCACACATGGAGCATCTTATTCCCATTCCCACTTCTTAAGTCTCGGGACAATTCTAGAAACCCAAGGATTGTCCTCTTCAGAGATCCCATGCCTTTTCTTAGATGCCTCTAACCTGCCATAGGGACTAATAAGGCCAGAACCATAGTCAATAGGGAGTCTGCCCAGGCCCTGCCAGGTTCTCTTCTAATTATTGCCTATTTTCCTACTTAAGGACAGAATAAGGAGATTATTCCCATCAAGGCCCATGAAATCCCACCCTAGCTTTTCCTCCCCTTTCCTTCTTGCTACCGTCTGACACTCTCAGAGGATCCAGACATCCTGCATGCCTGCCAAGTGCAGGGCCATTTCTAGATGTAGTCTCAATACTGGATATATTTTAACTTAAACCCAAACTCAGTACCATGATCCTTGGGACCAAGCTTCTTAGGCAAAAGTGCCCTCCTACCAGTGATCTACCTTCAAGTCCTCTACCCCATTAAAAACAATTTTTTTATTCATTGATTTGAGAAGGGTGAGAGAGAGAGAGAGATAGAAACATCAATTATGAGAGAGAATCATTGATCAGCTACTTCCTGCATGCCTCACAATGGGGATCACCTGGCAACCCTGCACATGCCCTGAACAGAATCTAACCATGACCAGGTTTATAGGTCAATGCTCAACCACTGAGCCATGCCTCACACGGGACTCTACCCCATTTTTTAATCCATAACAAAGAAATTGCCTTTCTTGAGCTCTTCCTAGATTCATATTCCTCTCTCTAGTACACATAGGCCAGCTGGAACTGTTTTGAATCATCCTTTATCTCCTTCCTCCTTCACTCTTCACACCAATACCTTGAATCCCTTCACCCTCCATGTAATAACTATAGCCAACAGCTAAGAGCTATTTCTTATAATCAGGCCCTGAGAATGCACACTTCATTAAACCACATCCCTACCAGGGAGTGGAGTCATATCTCAAAGTATCTGGGACTGTACCTTCTCCATTCATCCCTTCATGACCAAAATCTCTATAGTAGATCTTATATCTGTCAACCAGGCTCCACATGATCCAAGAGACCCTTCTCATTCTCTTCCGTGCTTCTCCCCATGAAATATCCACATCAGAGCACTTGTAACACTTATTTGATTATGAGCTTTAACTTCCTGCACCCACACTGTTCTCCCTCAGCTTCCATGGTTCTCTTTGTGCCATCATTCTCTCATCACCCTCATTAAAGGCAGTGCATTAAGATTTTCTCTTCCTAGACCAGGGGTGGGCAAACTTTTTGACTCGAGGGCCACCATGGGTTCTTAAACTGGACCGGAGGGCCGGAACAAAAGCATGGATGGAGTGTTTGTGTGAACTAATATAAATTCAAAGTAAACATCATTACATAAAAGGGTACGGTCTTTTTTTTAGTTTTAGTTTTATTCATTTCAAACGGGCCGGATCCGGCCCGCGGACCATAGTTTGCCCACGGCTGTCTTATACCTATGCCTTAAGAAAGCCATTTAATCTCTTTGACTTTTAATATCCTTTCTCTTAAGTGAATATAATTCTTGTCCCAAATGAAATAATGAATGTGAAAAGTAGAAACATGTGTAAAGCAATCAATTCTATATAATAAAGAGCTAATATGCTAATTAGACAGGACAGTGGAATGACCTTCCAGAACAACCAGTGGGCGGGGGGCAGGGCCAGTGAGCCTGCACACCAGGCCAGCAATAGTGGCCCCAGAGCTGCCCCTTCGGAAAAGGCGGTGGGAGAGGGGGCAGCATAGTCTGGTGCCTCCACAGAGGCAGGATGGGGCGGGACTACAACACCTCAACCTCACCTGGGCCCTCCCCACACCAGCCCGGCCCCCGATTGCCCCCATCCAGACCCCTCGCCACCAGTGGGCAGGGAGCAGGGACAGCACTAAGGAGCAGTGAGCCAGCTTCTGGTTGAACAGCACTCCCACCCCCGCACCCAGGCTCACAGCTGGCAAGTGCAGCAGTGATGGCAGGAGCCTCTCCTGCCTCTGCAGCAGCAGCGCTACGAATGTCCAACTGATGGCTCCTGGACTGCAAGAGGGCACAGGCCAGGCTGAGGGACCCCTCCCCCCCCACCCTGCACGAATTTTGTGCCCTGGGCCTCTAGTGTAAAAATATTGTGATCATATGCCGCATTCCAAAAACTTACCTCCCCAATTTAATCTGCAAGTGTAAACTCCCCGAGCAGCATCTCAACTGTAAATTGAATGGAACAGGACAGTGAATTGATGCTGTTCCAGCTCCAACATCAGTCTATGACTTCTCTTTTTTTCTGCATTATAGCCCAGATACCTGAATCTACTTTCTGGAAATAGGGGAGCAACCTCGGTTTTCTTAACTGTTTTGCGGGAGAGTGAAAATTGTATTAAAATAAAATAAACCTAGAGATAAGTTAATATTATATATCATTGGCCTACAACTTGAACTTTTAGTGAGGTGACATACCTATCAAAGAACAAACAGCTCCCCAAGAAACCCCTTGCCCATCCAAAGTTAACCACTTCATACTGTGCAGGTTTTGCCTGTTTGAACTTTACACAAATGAAAACACAAAAATGCACTCATTAATGTCTCAAAATACATTTTAAAATTACCCATGCTGTTATGAAATGGAGGGTGTGGTTCATTGTTCTCATTGTATATTATTCCACTTTGTGAATATGATGGACTTTATTTTTTCCTTTCTCCCATTGACGGGTATTTGGTTTGTTTCCATTTTGAGGCGATTAATGTCATTGCTGCTGTGAACAATGTCATGTGTACAATTCTGTTGGGTATGTATCTAGAAGTGAAATTAATGGTCATAGGATATGGGTATGTACAGTTTTCTGACTGTTTTCCAATGTGCTTGTAAACATTTACTCGCCCTCCACAGAGTATGAGATATAGTCAGTATCTTCTCAAAAATTTGAAAAAATACTTTGGTCACATTGTGAATATGTTGTATTTTCACATTTGAGTTTAAGTTGTATTCTCCCAGTGACTGGTAGAACCGAGGAACTTGTCCTGGGTTTAGTAGCCACAGGGATATCCTCCTTTGTGTGGAGCCTGGTCCTCTTTTGTACCATTTTATTTTGGGTTGTCTACCTCTCTCCTGTTACTTTTAACCACTTTTCGAACACTGGATATTTGACCAACCAGCCTCTCGGCCCTGCCCACTCCCCACCTTATAAACATACCTACAAGCTGAGGGGCTTTGCGTGAACTGTCCCTTTATAAGGTAACTATTATTATCTCTATTTTCATAGTAAAATAAAAAGAAACAGAGAAGCTAAGCAGCTGGTCCAAGGTAATGCAGTTAGTCAGCAGCAAAGCAAGGACTGGTCTCTTGACTAAATTATTAACTACCCCCCTTTACATCGCCTATCTCCTTTTCCTGCCTTACTTATATTCTTATCACTATCTAACAAACTGTGTGTAATTTGACATAGTTATTCTGTTTATTATTATTATTTCCTATTACAGTCTGATTTGTCCACCACCATATTCCCAGTGCCTGTATAGTGTCTGGTACATAGTAGTTCATGACTTTTTGAATAAATGAATGAATGAACACTAATTCTAATATATGGACATGCCAAGATATCAGCATTTATTTCCTTATCTCCTTTGGAACTGCACTTTCTAAGCTTTGTTCTTTTCTCTAGGTTTCCCTGTGTCCTTCCAGTCTCGGGCTCAGCTCTGCCATTTCCTTACCATGTGCATCTACACATGCACTGCCCAGCATGCAGCAGTCAACCAGAGCCAGGTCTGGACAGCTGAAAGCCTGGGTCTGTGAGAGGAAGTGTCTGGTCTAGGGGACAGTTGAGGAACAGAGTTGGGGGCTAGGGTCCTGAATCAGAGTTTCTGAGTGATTGCAGATTATTCTTCTTCTAGTTGGACTGGTATTTCTGGGTCCCTAATGGGCCAAGCTCAATGCGGATGCCCCCACCCACCACCAAGGAAGATGTCACAATGGACACAGTGATGGGCTCATTACCGAATGTCTGGCAGACCAGTCTTCAAATGACTTCCATATGGCTCCTTTGCCATCCACAGCCAGACAAGGTGAGAGGGGACCTCTGGAATTCTGAGGGGACTGATGACTGACAAGGAGACTTTAGGGTGAGGGACTGGAGTTTGGGTCCCTTTTTCTTGGAACTAGAAGATGACTGATCCTTTCTTTCTGCTCCAGGTACCACTGGGGCATCATCAAGAAGAGTATTTCTCAGACCCTGAGCCCAAGGCTGTTTTAAGGCAGTTTCAGGCTGACCTGGACAACCTGGAAAAGGAAATTGTGGCCCGGAATGAGCAGCTAGACCTTCCCTATGAACACCTGAAGCCCAGCCTCATAGAGAACAGTATCACTATTTGAACCTAAATCATTCACCCTTTAAATACTAGAGGCCACCACCATAGTTAATATTTTCCACCTGATTTTTACTGTTTCCATGGATCTGAGTTGCTATGGTTCTATTTTCTCCTCTTGAGTTCCCTACCTAAATATCTCACCAACTTGAAATCAACTCCCTTAGAGAAATCAAATATCTACCCATGTAATGTTTTCTTTTCTCTGGAAATTTTGCCTTCTCCATTCATCAATAAATCATTATAACCCTAGCCGGTTTGGCTTAGTGGATAGAGCGTCAGCCTGTGGACTGAAGGGTCCTGGGTTCAATCCCGGTCAAGGGGACATACCTGGGTTGCAGGCTCAATCACCAATGGGGGCCTTGCAGGAGGCAGCCAATCAATGATTCTCTCTCATCATTGATGTTTCTATCTCTCTCTCCCTCTCCCTTTCTCTCTGAAATCAATAAAAAAAATATTTTAAAAAAATAAAAATAAATCATTATATAATGACATTACATTATCATTGACATAAGTGATTCAAAAATCTGTTTTAATGGTGTAGCTAATTTTTTAATACAGTGGAAGATAGAAGTCAATTCTATATCTTTTTTCTGCTCTGGATAATTTATCACAGCACTATTCATTGAAAAACCCATCCATCCCATTAATCTAGAACACTGACATAGATTAAGTTGCCATCTATGAATTAATTAGTTCTCAGCTGTCCAGTAGTTATAACCACACTCACATAACTGCTACAGCTTTATACTTAACACTAGAGGCCCAGTGCACGAATTTGTGCACCAATGGGATCCCTCCACCTGGCCTGCAGGATCAGGCTAAAACCAGCTCTCTGACATCCTCCAAAGAGTCCCGGATTGCAAGAAGGCACAAGCCAGGCCGAGGGACCCCACCAATGCACGATCGGGACCGGGGAGGGACACGGGAGTTTGGCCAGCCAGGTAGGGACCACGGGAGGGCTCCAGGGCACGTCCAGCCCATCTTGCTCAGTCCCGATTGGCCAGACCCCGGCAGCAAGCTAACCTACCGGTCAGAGGCCTGTCCCACGGTGGTCAGTGCACATCATAGTAACTGGTCGACCAGTCAACTGTTTGCCCCCTGGTGGTCAGTGCGCATCATAGTGAGCAGTCGGGTGGGAGGAGTAAATTAGCATATTACACTTTGATTAGTTGAATGGCCAACTGGAAGTCCAGACACTTAGCATATTCAGTTTTTATTATATAGGATAGCACTCTTATTCAACATAGCACTGGAAGTCCTAGCCACAGTGATCAGACAAGAAGAAGAAATAAAAGGCACCAAAGACATCCAAATTGGAAAGGAGTTAGTAAAACTCTCATTACTCACAGATGACATGATATTGTATGTAGAAAACTCTAAAGATTCCACCAAAAAACTACTAGATTTAATGAATGAATTTGGCATTGCAGCAAGATACAAAATTAACAAGCAGAAAATCAATGGCAGTTTTATCCACCAATAATGAATTCTCAGAAAGGGAATCTAAACAAACAATCCCATTTACCATTGCAAAAAAAAAAATTAAGATACTTAGGAATAAACTTAGCCAAGGAGGTAAAAGGCTTGTACTTGGAAATCTACAGGGCATTGAAAAAAGAGATAGAGGAAGATATAAACAAATGGAAGAATATACCATGTTCATGGATTGATAGAATTAACATCATTAAAATGTCCCTAAACAATACTACCCAAAACAATTTATAGATTCAATGAAATCTCTATTAAAATACCAACAACATATTTCACAGATATAGAACAAATACTCCAAAAATATATATGGAACAAAAAAAAAAAAGACCCCAAAGAACAGGCATATAGATCAATGAAACAGAACAGATTCCAGAAATTGCCCCAAGCCATTATGCTCAATAAATATTTGACAAAGGAAGCAACATCATACAATGGAGTCAAGACAATCTCTTCAATAAATAGTGTTGGCAACAAAATGAAATTAGACCAGCTTATACCATATACAAGAATAAACTTAAAACGGACAAAAGACTTAAATGTAAGTCATGAAACCATAAAAATCCTAGAAGAAACCACAGGCAGAAAAATCTCAGAAATCTCTTGTAGCAATATGTTTGCAGATACATCTCGTAAGGCAAGGAAAACTAAGGAGAACATAGACAAATGGACCACATCAACATAAAAAGCTTCTGCATAGCAAAAGAACTCCAAATAGCCCAACTATCATATAAAGAACAAATTGGATACCCACATTTTGTAATTACAAAAAATACTACAAAATTACAGTAGTCTAAATAGTGTGGTACTGAAATATAAACAGACATATAGCCCAATGGAGCACAATACCTTGCTCAGGAAGAAAATTTTATATATACAGATAGTCAAACAATTTTCAACAAGGACATCAAGACCATTCAATTGGGAAAGGGAGGTCTTTTCTTTTTTCTTTTTTTTTTCAAATTTATTGTGAAAAGTCATTTTTATTATTGGATGAGAGAACACTGACATATATTTGATATAATGTGGGGGAAGATATGACAGTTTTTTTAATTAATTAAATCTTTATTGTTCAGATTATTACATTTGTTCCTCTTTTTTCCCCCCAT